GTTTTCTTAACCCTCTGACGGGCTGAGATGGCTTCTGGCTACTGTTTAGCTACCCAGGGTATCGCTGGTATGTAGGGAGAAGGTGAAGGGCAATAGCGACCAGGTCCCCCCCAGAGGATCCCGCGTGGCTTTGATCCAGCGGGCCCCTGTCACCTAACAAAGGAGAAGAGGCCCTTTTGGGATCACACCTTTTGCTCAGCAGCACGGGGCCTGACTGGCTTTGGTGGTGCTCCCTGAGGAATGCTCCCTGTCACGGAGGCCAGTAGGATCTGGTCCAAGGCAGCCTACAGTCTCCTCATTTGCCTACAGTTGGAGATGGGAGGACACATAGGAATCACCTGGGAGCTTGCTAATTCTCCGCATTCAGGCCCCATCTTCGGAGCCTCTGACTCAGCAGATCCTGGGTGCAGCTCAAGAATCAGGTCCCTGCCTCCCAAACCACACCCCGAGGAGACGCTACCCTGAAGCCACCCTGTTACCCGCAGGGACACGCTTGTCACCCATCCTTTTTGCCACCTTCTCAATCAGTTAAACCCCACAAGGCTGAGTTGCTTATTAAGTCAGCAAGTGTGTATTGAGCACCTGTGGCTCCAGGTACTGTGCTCAAGCCCAGGAAGAGTGCTGAGGGCAGTGAGGGCCTGAGCTAGGGTAAGGAAAGCAGGGCCTGGGGGGCGCAATGGGGGCAGACACCCACTCTTGGAGGCATGCTTGAGCCCCAGAGAGGGCCTCCGTCACACAGCCCTGGTGGAACAGACCTGCCCCCGCCTTCGGGAGCTCAGTCCAGAGCAGGGACTGTGGCTTCGGAGGAAGTGGTCCCGGGGATGACGGGCACCTGCCTTATCAACGTGATCAGAGGGAGCGAGATGTGCAGAGTCCTGGGGCGGGAGGAGCCTGGGACTCTGTGGAGCTGAAAGCGAGCCTGAGAGGCTGGCGGGGGGAGGGCGGTGGCAGGGCCTGTGGTGTAGGCCCGGCAGGTCTCGGTAAGGGTTTGGGTTGTCATGCCTAGCGCCAGGGAAGCCATGGAGGGTTTGAAGGAGAGGAGGGGGGCGGTCCATCTTACAATCTGAAAGAGCGGAAGTGGATGCTTCAAGAGCAGACTGTCATCTCCAGGAAAGGCTTCACAGAGCAGCCTTGTAGCAGGACCGAGAGAGGCTTGGACAGGGGCCCAGGGGATGGGGGCAGGCCCAAAGCTTCAGGTCAGCAAAGAGAAGGAAGCCCAAGGCACCATCACCCGCAGTTCAAGCGTGTGCCCTTGGCAGAGCCTAAAGCCCTGCCCGTTTGGTGTCGGCGGGCACCTGTTTGCAGCACCAGTCAGCTGCCCCAGGAGACCTCCCGCTGGGACCAGGACCCCCCCTCCTGCCACAGCCCTGCCGGCACAGAGCGGTGCCCACCGCCCCGCAATGCCCACCCTCTTCCCGGGGAAGCTGTCGGCTATTTGACAGCCTCAGGCAGACGGACAGCTTGAGTCAGGAAATGAAGACAGATTCTCATTGCCAACTTAGTCAGTGTGCCTCCTGCTACTCCGTCATTGATGAAGGCACCAGGGGGCAGACCAGGTGAGGTGAGGTCCTGACTCTGGCCTCTCGTAGCCAAGAGCCTGGGGTGCAGACTCTCCAGCTTGCCCAGGCATTGCCTCCATCTCTTCTGGAACTTTCCTAACCCGCTCCCCTCTGGCTTCTTCCACTCCTGCGCACACCCTCTCCCTCTGCACCCACCTTCCCAAATGCATTAGGACACATGTGTCAAACACAAGGCCCGCGGGCCAAATCCGTCCCGCCAGGCCTTGCAATGTGGCCCGCACCGCGCTGTCATCACTGCACTCCGCTGCGTTTCCATCACAATGACAGTTTATGACTGTTCAGTAAACCATTCGGCCCGCGATTTAGGCTGGATTTTAGATTTTGGCCCCTTCTCTGATTGAGTTCGACACCCCTACATTAGGAAGAGAGCTGCACCTCCCGTGCGATTCTGAGTCACGGACACCTGCCCAAAAGTAACGGTGCCTGTGAAACACGGACCCTCTTTCCAGGGCAGGTTCACGTGTGTGTGTGGGGGAGCTTCCTAAATAAACCGCTGTTTCCTGAAGGTGCTCAGACACACACACATGGGCCTCCTGCCGTGCTGAGGCCCCTCTGGAGCCCTGGGGACCAAACCCAGCCTCCAGGATCCCCCTCCCCCTGCACACCGGGCTCCACGTGAGCTGGAGGGTCCCGCTTCTCCATGGGGTCTGAGCTCCCCGTGTCCACACCACAGGCTACAGCTGGAGTATCTGGAGTTGTTTAAGGCGCCTCAATATTGCCCCATTATTTATTCATAAAGCTGCAAGGCCCTTGGGGCAGAAAGCACTTGAGAGAGAAGCAGGCGTGGAGCTCAGAACAAACAGAACCCAGCAGGGAGCCTAGCATCTCCACTTCCCGCCCTTCAACCACCCCTCCAGGGAGAAGCCCGCCCACCCACCCACCCAGGGAGGAGCCCACCCACCAGGGAGGAGCCCACCCACCAGGGAGGAGCCCATCTCTCCAGGGAGAAGCCCACCCAACCACCCAGGGAGGAGCCCACCTCTCCAGGGAGAAGCCCACCCACCAGGGAGGAGCCCACCCACCCAGGGAGGAGCCCACCCCTCCAGGGAGGAGCCCACCCACCCAGGGAGGAGCCCACCCCTCCAGGGAGGAGCCCACCCACCCAGGGAGGAGCCCATCTCTCCAGGGAGGAGCCCACCCACCCACCCAGGGAGGAGCCCACCCACCCAGGGAGAAGCCCATCTCTCCAGGGAGGAGCCCACCCCTCCAGGGAGAAGCCCACCCACCCACCCAGGGAGGAGCCCACCCACCCAGGGAGAAGCCCATCCACCCAGGGAGGAGCCCACCCCTCTAGGGAGGAGCCCACCCACCCACCCACCCACTCTCATCAGACCAGCGCTCAGCACAGGAAGGGACGCTCACTGCGGGCGGGCGGCCTCCCGGCAGAGTCCTGAGCCAGCCTGGGGGCTCAGGTGGGTGGAGTGAGTCTCTCCTCCACGCAGCCCCCTCGTCAGTGGGTCTCCCCATCCTACAGGTGCGGTCCCAGGTGGCCTTGGCCTTGCCCCAGGGCACCTGTAACATCTGTCCCTAAGCCTTTGGGCCCAGGGACCATGGCACCCCCCGGTCAGAGCAGGGGAGGGAGGGGAGGTGACCCAGGAGGAGGGAGCAGGGCAGCTGGCCGGAGGGACAGTGCTGACCAGGACAGGCAGGCAGGGAGAGGCTGTTTCAGGGCGGAGAGAACAGGGTGGAGGCATGGCCGAACGAAGTAACCTGGAGGGCTGGTGGGATGGGGTGGGGGGCAGAGCCTCAGAGAGGCAGGAGCGTGTGGCCCAAACTGTGGGCTCTCTGGCCACGCCACTGGCTGCAGGGCTTCCCATCCCAATGGTGATGGACATTCCACTCTGCCATGTTGCAGCTGTGTGTCCTTGGGCCAGTTGCCTAACCTCTCTGTACTTCAGTGTCCCGCCTGCACATCTGACCCATCTCCACCCCCAACTCCCAGCCCCAGGCCCACACGGAGCGATGCTGTGGAGGAGGCTTTACCCAAAGGAGCCAAACTGGCTCCCACCCGTCTCTCTCCGGGCCCTGCCGGGGTGACTTGGCGCGCCCTGCCCGGAGCTGCGCTGTCTCCTGGGCTTTCCCGAAAGCACGGCGGCTGCTTCTCCGCTGATGGGGGAGGTTCGGACCAGCACTTAATGACTAGGAGGCTGGAAGTGTTCTCTGAGATGGGGAAGCATCTCGCTGGCTTCACTCAGCCTGGATTCCCAAGATGGTCTGGGAGCACTGCGGCCACTCACGGCCTCTTGGGAGAAAGCTGGTCCCGGGAGGAACAAACACGTGGAGGGGCAGGGATGGAGGGATGAGAGCAATCTGGTCTCAAGACCCAAGTGGCTTGATGCTTTGAGGTGAGCCCAAACCCCAGCCAGGAGTCCTTGGCCTTCTCAGTGGTGATGGACGCTCCACTGTGAATCTTTGGTTTTGTGACGTCGCAGGACTTAAGGACAGAACAAGTCCCTCGTATCGCAGACGGGAGCCCAGAGCTGTGGGATGACCGGCCCAAGGTCTCAGAGCTCGAAGCTCACTAGCTGCCGAGGGACGAAAGCCCCTGTGGTCACGGCCCTCTCCTGGGCAGCCATCCGAGGGGTTTGGTCCCTGCCTGGGGCCATGTGAGCACATCAGGAGAGAGAAGCGCTTGCAGACGGGCTGCTGGGGAGCCAGCGGGAGCGATGCTGTGCCTTTAAGAATCACACTGCCCAGATACCTGGGCACTGCAGCCGGGGCAAGGGCTGCGACTGTGGGCAGCGAGGTCAGGTGGACGGGTTGCACTTGAAGCACAGTCTCTCTAAGAGCCAACGTCCTGGCTCTTCCTCCGTGGCAGCAGGCCCGCCCCCTCCAAGCACTAGCCAAGGTGTTTAGCCAGCGCTGCTGGGCTCAGAGCTAGCTGTCGCCCCTAGATAGGAGTCAGGGGGGCCAAGTGAGCTTCAGGACGGCAGGGACCTCTCCGGCAGCGGAGCTCATTACCGGGCAGAGCCCCAAGGCGGCTCCCCTGACAGTGGGCAGAGAGGAAAGCAATAACACCGGCTGTTCTGCGGCTCCTGGTCCCTCCTGGTTTTATTAAAGCCAAAGGGGCGAGCATCCCCAATGCGCATCAGGGCGAGGAAGGCACACAGATCCCGGGCTGGAGCCTCCGGGGAAAGAGCAGGGCAGGGAGAGGGCTGGCGAGGCCGCCTGAGGGACCGGGCTCTCCAGAGAGGAACGTGGCTACCCGAGATGCCACTGTTTCCTTATTCCCCGCCTCTCTGTTTACTCAACCTCTGCCTGTTACTTTCCTCATCGACTAACCCCGTCCTCTGCCTCCTGCGTGTGCAGGGCAACATCCCCTTGCCCACTGAGCCACGAGCAGCCGACCTCCATCAGGCCCGGCACAAACAGCAGAGGGTTCGAGAGCCCCGAGTCTAACCCTCATCTGCTTCTTTGCAGGAGAGCGTGGACTTGGGGGAGATCATGTTCTCCCTCTGCTACCTGCCCACGGCGGGCAGGCTCACCCTCACCGTGATCAAGTGTCGGAACCTCAAGGCCATGGACATCACAGGCTACTCAGGTACCTCTTCCGCCCCAGGGGCCCGCCCGCACCCCCCCCCCCCCCCCCCCCCAGGCAGCGTGAGCGTTAGGGTTTGAAGAGAGAAGGAGAAGAGCTGTCAGCATTTGCAGAAAAGCGGCTGCTCAGGAGGGACACGCTGTGGGTTCTGCCACTTCCTTGCACTGTCATGTTTTGGTTTCCTGACCTGAAAAAAATAGCTTCCCAGGTTGCTTTCGGGATAAACGAGTTAATTCACATAAATGCTTAGCATTGTGCCAGGCACATAGGAGCTCTCAGCAGATATTAGCTATTACCACGTTCTCTCTCCAGAGGAGGGTGAGCATAGGAAGCGAATACATAGGAGAACATGTTGGAGGTCCCAGCCGCCTGCGGCCGCCCTGCAGTCCCAGCCAAAGAGCAACGCCACCGGGAAGCCGAGTGCATTTGTGTTTGAGTTCTCCCTGCGGGGCGCGGGCGGCCTCGGCCTCGGCAGCGGGAAAGCGGCCGGAACCGCAGGAGAGAATAAGTCCCGGTCTCGCCCCGAGGGAATGCCTGCACGGGGGCAGCTGTACAGACTGCAGCTGGACGTGGGCCGGAGTCTGCCCTTTGCCGCGGTTCTGCAAGGATGTGGAGAAGGCGTTTGAGTTTTGATATCACGGAGGAGTAGCTTGGGTCCCAGGGGCCTCCACCCGCCCGCTCTTGGCTCCAGTTAGCCCCCGAAGTGAAATGGGGCGAGCACCCCTCAGAGCGGCGCACGTGCAGGGAGAGGAGGCCTGGCTGGCTGCCCGGGAGCCAGCTCAGAGGCTCCGAGGACTCCGACGGCACAGGAAAGCCTCTCCTGGTGCCTCCGAACGTGGATGGGAGTGGACGGAAGGTTTTCCCTTCTATCCCTCAGTGGGTGGGAGTGAAGGTTTTCCCTCTATCCCTTAGTCTCCTCTCCTCCGTCTAATCACAGTTGCCATAAAGAGGGGCGGGTCCAGCTGAAAACATCTGGCCCCGGTGCAAGCTGGGGGTGCCCGTTGAAGAAGAGGCGCTAGAGGTCTTGAGAAATGAGGGTTCAGGGAAACGCCCGCGCACTTTTTGTGTCTTGTTTGCAGCTCTGAAGCGCCAGGGGCCTCCGCTTCTAGCCGCCCCCGCCCCGCTCCCCGCAGCGCTCGGCCTCCAGGCCAGAGACGCCCCCAGTGAGCGCCTCCCCCTCTCCCCTCACTGCCTCTCCTTCCCCCGAAGCTAGCGCCACTCATCAGGAGGTGGGCGAGAGAATAAAGAACCTTCTCAGACATAGTCAGCTTTCTCCAAAAATACAGCCACGGTAGATTTCATTTTAATATCCAAATAAGCGCATGCCAGGGACAGAAATTCACAGAGCACTCTCAAGGCTGCTGAGGCAAATGGGATTTTGCTACCCAAGTCCCCACACTATCTTCTGGGGTGTAATTACATTGGTGTGCCGGGAGAGAGCTGGTGGCGGAGCCTCTGAGGTCCCTGCCGAGGCTGCTCCCCATCAGAGGGTTGAGTCCTAACCTCCCTCTCACATGCCCCCTTTCCCACCTGGGCTTACAATCTGCTGCTGTCTCAGCTGGATTCTGAAAGTGCAGGTGTGGCTTCTTATCGGGATTTCTGCCTACTTTGTTCGCTGAAAGAATCAAGTGCAAAGAACACAGCAAGCATTGAATAAGTATGTACTGAATGAGTGAATGAATTTATAGCTGGAGGAGCCCCATCCGGGGCATGCAGCGGGGGCATACATGCCAAGGGCCTCTCAAACTAGACCCCTGTTTCTGAGGATGACTTTGAGGTTACCTTCAGCCCAGACTGCTTTGATGTTGGACTCAACGAGGGAGGGAATGGAGCTTATTCATGGTCTGATCCTGATTTATATGGCGTTGACGTCTAAAACCAAGGCCCGTCCTATTCTCCTTGATCTAAAGTGGCTGTGAATCAATCCTCTAAGCCTATCTATGGAACCATGACGGTGAACATAATTCAAAATAGTAAGGAGCGGGGCGGGGGCAGCTAGAAGGGGTGGTGAGTCAGTGAACTCCCCCATCTCTGCCACATCTGGTCTGCACTACTTTGGATCCAATGGTTAAAAAGTGAGCTTTGCAGTCAGGCTAGGGTGCAAATCGTAGGCAAGTTTCTTCATCTCTCTCTAAACCTGTAAAATGGGGGTGATAACGATGATGAATATTTTATAAGGTTAAGGTGACGTGTAAATGGCATAATGCATAGGGATCTCTTAGCTCAGTGCCTGGCACATGCTAAACGCTGAGTCCTGATGGCTCTGGTGATAGGAGGCTGAAATGCCCTGTGGTCTTTGTGCCCCGCCCTCGGCTGCTTCGACAGCACAGGCTGTGGAGAGGAGAGGACCTCAGAGGGCTGAAGCCAGCATCCCACCGGAAGCCGTGAGGTTTGGCCTCGAAGCACCCTAGGGGACAGTCACCACAGAAGCTGGGCACGGCCCCCGGACAGGGGGCTCTTTCCCAGCCTGGAGACGGGGGCCTGGGCTTGCCATGGGAAGGCATGGACACAGGATGGCAGGGGGGGTGGCAGCCTCCACCTGAAGACACTTTCCAGAGCAATACACACCCCTCAGGAGCTTCGGGGTTGCCATGGTAACGACAGGTCTGGGTGCTAAGACTGTCCCACAGCGGTGTTCAGGCCGCCTCTTTCTTTTTTACTGAAGACCCTCCCGAGAGAGGCCCTGTCAAATGGGTGATGGGTGGGGGGCTGGTGGGACAGGGTTGATCAAACACCTCGTCGTCTCCCAGCTCCTCGTAAATCCTGTCTCCACGTGCCTGTGGTTAAGCCACAGCTGCCACAGTGGCCAGCCGGTGGCTCATCTGTCTACTGAAAGGCCTTCCAGGCTTGGAGTTTCTGACCAGGCCCCAGCTCTCTCCCTCCCCGCAGCTGTGTGCCCCAGCTGCCACCCAGCGACGCCCAGGCAGCGGGAGGCCTGCGGGGCCTGGGGATGAGATGCACCTGTGCGTCCAGGAGCGGGGAGCCCACCTCCTGACACATTCGCAGGAGCCCGGGCATCCGGCCAAGAGCGTGTCTCCAACATCCGCGTCTCCAAAGCTGCTCTCCCCGCGAGCCGCCCTCCCGCTCCCGGGCTGAGCCGCACAAAGAGCAGTTACGGTGCCGCCGGACACCTGTGCTCGGACACAATAGGCGGCCCCTCACCGGGGTGAGGAGATAATTTCAGGGTGGGAAGAAACACCATGGAACACCATTCAGAAAACTAAAGAGACAGAGATGGGAGGCCCGTGGGTGTTCAGTGAAAGGACAGCTTCTTGCTGGGTGGAGAGAATCCAAGATCCTGCTGAGAAATGAAACCCCAGCGGCAGCCCTCAGCCCTCCTGCCCCGGCCACAGCCCCCTCCTCCGCCACTGCCCAGGGGGCAGGCCCGGCCTCAGAGGCAGCGGAGGGCGGGGCCGCCACGCCCCTTCGGGACCCTAATCCTCCCGGCGGTGGGGCACACAGACACACTGTGCTTGTCGCTGCTCATTGACCCGGACAGCACTGCTTCTCTTTGGGTGCCACCGAGTGCTATTTTTACCCCTTACTCTTTGGTTAGCATGCTGCCAAGCCCCCCAGAGAAAAGGATTCCAACGAGGTGAGAGGGATTGAGTGCCTCTTCACTACCCTGGAGAGTCAGCTGGCCGTCACGGAGCCCAGAGTTAGGGCGCTGACGGCACACCCGTGGGCAGGTGTCCTGATTTGGGGCCAGCTTCCATCAGTGCAGGTCTGCTAAGCGCTCTCCCAAGCACCCTGAGGTCTCTGAAGCACGGAGTGTCCTCAGAGACAGGTGTGCTCCGTAGTCACTGGTGCTTCCATTGTTTTAACGCCCCCGGTGGCATCTGGTGGCCAGCAGTAGACGTAACAGGGCTTCTGGCCCCTCCGGTGCCAAGTGGTGCTGGAGCACATCTGTTTAACAGGCTGCCCTCCCTTCCTTCCCACCGCCCCTCGGCACAGACCCTTACGTCAAAGTGTCCCTGCTGTGTGACGGGCGGAGGCTGAAGAAGAAGAAGACCACCATCAAGAAGAACACGCTCAACCCTGTCTACAACGAGGCCATCATCTTCGACATCCCGCCCGAGAACATGGACCAAGTGAGCCTGCTGATCTCGGTGATGGACTATGACCGGTAGGTACGGCCCCGGAGGGACACGGCTCCCTGCATCTCTGGCAGCGCAGGGCTTCTGGGCCGTGACCTTGTGGTTCACGGCCCCGGTGTCCGCCGGCCGCAGCCACGGAGAGAGAGCACAGGGGCCGGAGGGAGAGCCTGGGTTCCCCTCAGCAGGAGCTCAGGCCTCCCTTCCCAGCTGCTCCATTTCCGTCGGGGCAGCTCCCCACTCCCGTTCCCCTGCCTTCAGTCCTGACTGTTCCCATCCCTCCTCTGGCTCCAAGGCCTGTGGTCTGTCCTCAAAATGGCCTCTCCATCCTCTCCGTTTCTGCTCACCCCCCCACTCCCTCAGGGATCGCTGTGCGGCCTCCATCACTCCCTCCTCCACCCAGCCAGCCTACGAAAGGCACGCCTTCCTCATAAGGAACCACTTTCTTTCTGGCCCCGCCCTTCTCTAGGACCATCCATGGCTCCCGGTGCCCAGGCTCTTCCCCTGGACTCCCAAGGATTTCCATCTTCTGGACCCAGCACATCCATCCTTGGTTTCTCCCTTATTGGAGATATTCCTTCTCCTCCACCGATCCAATCCCACTCCTGCATGCAGACTGGCTCAGAAGTGTTTTCTGACCCCTCCAGCTACCAGCACTCCTCTCTCCACTTGTCCCTCTGCCGAGAGAGAAGGAAACAGGCGGTAAAGCCTCAATCCGGGGTTTTTAGCTCAAGTCCTCGGGCCCAGTGGGTGCTCGGTGAGCATAGTTGAGCGATGATTGATGTCCTTGCTGAGTGAGTAACTCACCTCCCAGCCGCTGGGGGAATGGTGCTCAGAGCAGGTCGATTTATTTCCAAATGCTGACAGCATTTCAAGGGGGGGGGGGGATGTTGATGTGCAAGCCGAGTCCAGGAAGGAAAGAGACCTTAACCCTCCAACGCCCCCAAGTCAGGCCACTGCCCATGGTTTCCTGAGACTCCAGACAAGTGTAGAACTTTTTGCTCATCTGACTGTGTCCAGTGTCCGCCCCAGGAGGCAGGGCAAAGCGTCACTGCTGCCGGCACCCTGCCGGGCGCCTGTTTTCAGAGCTCAGTGCTCTGAGTTAGACCTGCCAGCAGAGTCCCTCTCTGAGGGTGTGCCTGGCCCCCATGCCGGGCCTTCTGTCTCTCCCTCAGGGTGGGCCACAATGAGATCATAGGAGTCTGCCGTGTGGGGATCAACGCGGAAGGCCTGGGCCGGGACCACTGGAACGAGATGCTGGCGTACCCGCGGAAGCCCATCGCGCACTGGCACTCCTTGGTGGAGGTAAAGAAATCCTTCAAAGAGGTGGGTGAGGTCGCCTCAGCCCTTGGCATGCTTGCTGCATGGCAGCGCGCGCTGGAGAATGGCCGTGGGCTGCTGCGAGGCCTGGCCTTTGTGGGTCCTGGGGGCGGGGCGTGGGGCCGCGCTTCCCCCCAGTGTGCCGGGCAGGAGGAAGACCAGGGACGCTGCCTGACAAAGGGCCTCCGAGGTGGGCAGACCGAAAGCAGCACTGAGTTTTAGTTTGGAAAATAAAAACTCAGGGGAAGCCTTCCTAGAAGCCCGGATGCTTTCACCGAGGCCCTGGGCCAAGGCAGCCCTCGGGAGCGAACCCCACGGAGGTGAGATCAGAACTTGGCAAGAAATCGGACCTCTGTTGGGAGCAGCGAGTTGCCGAGGCTGCGGCCGGGGCAGTTTTCACTCCGAGGGAGACGCCAGAGCTGGGCGCTGGTCTGATAGACGTGGGTGCTCACCAGCTTGGCGATAGGGTCTCCCTTCCTGGCGGGTTGTACAGAGACACATGGACAGGACACTGCCTGGGGCTCCCAGGATTCAGGCTTCAAACGTGGTCCCTCCTGCCTTGCTGTGCAACCGTGAGCCCGTCCTTTCTCTCTGACTGCAAGGAAAGATCCCCTCTGGTGACAGTTCCTCTGCCCACCTCCCTGGGCCTCCCCCAGAGTAAGGTCCTGGGATTTATGGCTTGGTGGTCCCAGCCTCATAAGTCTAGGGAGCGGTGTAAAATTGGAAAATCCGCTAATAAAAAAATAAAGCGTCATCTCCCCACCACATGGGCCCTTAAAAGCAAAGTCACCTAAAAACAGTAATCGCGTCGCCACACTCTGGGGCACAGAGACGGTGTGGCAGCCGAGCCAGAGGACTGCTCACCCCTCCTCAGCGGACAAGCCCTTTCCCAGCAGCTTCCAGCAGCGAGGTGTCTCCAGAGACAGGGCTGAGGGCTGGGGGAGCCGAATGGGTCCTGGGGGAGCCAGGCCATTGGTTACCTCCCGGGAGGGGCGGGCCTTGTGAAGCTCCGCCCCGCAGCCCCTGGGCCCCAAGAGGGATGAGACATAGATGCAACCTTCCTGACCACCTTCGGCCTCGCCTTCCGTCTTGTGGCTTTGGTTTGACTACAGCTGTGGAGCCTGAGTGAGCGAGGCTGGTTCCTCAGCAATGTGGCTCCTGACCCACAGGGAAGCCTCTGCCCCGTCTTTTCCAGAAGGTTCTCTCTGGAGAGTGGAGGTGAGATTCCACTACCAGCCTCCACCTACACAGGAGGCAGCTACTGTCAGCAGATGACTTGGGGACAGCACCCGGCCCCTCACATGCCCTGCCCCTCCCCTTTAAAAGCCCTTTGGTGATATAAGAATATAGCAAACCGATCTGCATGGTTGAGGGGCGGGGCATAGGATGGGAGCTGAGAGGCTCCCATGGGCTCAGGCACTCACGGTGCCCACCCAGCTCTGCAGTTTCCTGTTGATGAAGGAGGGCGAGGCTCCTCCTACACAACTCTGAGCCTCCGTGAGGACCGACCGACCGGGCAGGGAGCCAGCATCTTGCACCCCCCTTCTAACCTCCAGCCTGCAATAACCCATCACTGGTACCCAACCGGGCTGCCCTCCTAAACTGGGTGTCACCAGCCAGGCTGGGGTGCGGGTGGGTGCAGGGCAGCACAGTGGGGGTCCGACCCAGAGTCACTCTTCTTTGAGATGAATGCAACCTAATTAAGCCAAATAATTGATTCCAAATCCTGTCTTTTGTGAGTCCAACTCACTCGTTCAGACTACAAAAGAAAGAAAGATAAAGTAGAATCAAGCCCTTGAAAATGAATATTCGATGAGACAGTAAAGGGAAAGGAACAGTATATGGGAAAGGAAAAGAGAATAAATTGATTTATATCCTTTGGGTTCTGCTTTTTTCTTGGCCTCGCCAACAGAGCACCCCAGACCGCCCCTCCCTCACGCACTGGCAAGCTGTCTCCTGCTCAGCTGACAGGTTCTCTGAATGAAGGAGAATGAATGACATGCGGCTTGGCAACCTGGGATCCCATCCATATAAACGTGTATACAATTTCCATCTACCCTGTGAGCACCCACAGTTTAAGGACCTTTATAAGCGTGCGCCCAAAGCCCACCGGGCTAATATGAAGGCCGCATTCGTTGGGTTCATGTGACGCATTGTACTTGAACGCTTATCTCAGTCATCCTCTGAGCTCTCACCCCACCTTCTCTTCCGTCCTGTTCTGGACACCGAGGGAGAGTCTTGCCCCGGGACCGCTTTCTCCGTTGGTATAATCCGTGAAGAAATCCCGCTCCCCAGCTCCCAGGAAGAGAGACGGCATCGCACCTGGGAAGCACCTGTATTTGTATTGTACTCTCCTCAGAGGAGTTTGAGTGCTGGGATCATTTCTCTTTTTATTAACGAGCACAGAGGGCTCCATACTCGCTCGCTCGCTCGTTTGGGGTTTTACATAAGGTCGAGGGGAGCAAATGAACTGAAAGGCGTTTTTTCCCGCTGGGATTTCCCCCACGAACACAAAGTGATGAAGCCACGGCCAGCATCCTCCCTCTCTGCCTGTCATCGCTGTCACCACCTACCATGCCCGGGATGGCCAGCAGCCTTCTCCGAGGCGTTCTGTCCTGAAGGGCCACGCTCACATCACCTGCCGGAGAGCTGAGGTCTCTGTTGGACCCGCACAAGGTCTTCCCGTAGTGCTGCCCCCCGGGAACGACCATCTTCCCGCCTGTGGGGACCAGGTCTCCGCGAGTTCACAGCCCCGGCAAGCCTCCTGGGCCGTGCCTTCGCCTGCCCGCTGCCCACGAACCCGTCTGCTGTGTTTTTCGTCATAGGAAGATCAGGGGCTGGCGGGGAGCCCGGATAAACAAGTGAGCTCCGTGTGCCTCCTCTGTGGGCTGTCACAGAAGGAAGAACGGGGCTCTGTGTAGAGATTTCAGTTTCCTCTCTGGTCTGCCCATCAGGTGGTTTAGGTGGCAGGGGAGCCCAGGGGAGGAGCCAGTAATCACAGGGTACCTTGTACCAGCATTGATGGCCATCACAGGAAAAGGAGAACTTCTAGAATGAAGGTCTGTTCGGTGAAAGCCTTAGTCACCGTCTCACGCCATGCCACCTTTTGGTTGAGAAACCCTTGAGTCAGAAGTCACAGTGGGCTCGACAGGCAGGCATTTACTGATCTAAAATATTTCACCAGGGCAACCCTCGGTTGTGAGTGCATTCACGTGGATGCTGCGAGCAGAGACTGCCTCCCGGAGTAGGAGTAAGTACCACGAGGCCAGGCGTCTCACTGGCCCCCGGTCTCCTTTCCCTGGCGCGGCCGGTGCCAGGGTGGCAGCCGGGGCCGTGGAAGGAGCGCCGAGTTGGGAGTTAGGAGACCTGGTTTCGGATCCTGGCTCTGCCCCAGCTAGCTGTGTCTTCACGTCTCTGTGTCTTTGTTTTCTTGTCTTCAAGAAGGAGAGAGTTAGGTGGGATGGTCTCCCAGGCCTGGGTGCTGGGTCACACCCTGGTCAGCACTGCTTGTCCAGCCGTGCTTGGCTGTAACGCTGCCGCTCAGCCTGGACGGGAAGTGCGGAGGGGCCACGAGGCGCTGAGCTGGGGGAGGACGGCAGAGCTGGCTTTCCGGAGAACGGGGAGCATGAGGGCGTTGGGTAGGCTTGGGTCTCTCCTCAGCACGGGGTCTCCCCCTTTCTCCAGAGGAGATGCTGATGGCAGGTGGTCTATTCCTTAGGGGGCTCGGCTTTGTCTGGAAACGGCCGTGACCTCCTGCCCCCTCCCCCCACATACACATGCACAAATGCATATCCAGCCCCCACTCAGCCCTGTCACTCCACGGGGAGACCTGAGGCTCACAGGAGCACAGGCTGCACTTCGTTTCAGAAAGGCCAGCCTGCCCTCCCCGACTCTCCCGGAACCGGTCCTGTGGTGTCTAGCGGAGTGCTCCTCCGCTCACAGGAAGGCCGCACTGCCTCCCTTTGGGGCTCACAGCCCCAGGCAGGCCGGGCACATCCACCGCAGGGTCAGCTCCTGGCCCCGCACGCTCCGCTGTCGCTGTGCCTGGCTGGCTTTTCCATGCAAACAAGGGCAACATGCTCAAGGGCGGTTCCGTCAGCCTCAACCTCTGCTTCATCCCATTATGCCTCACGACATCACCCAGGTTCACAGGGGGGCTAGGGCCGGGCTGAGAGGAGGCAACCCCGAGAGGAGAGAGCCGAGGGGAGCAAAGGCGGGTACCCAGAAGGGGAATGGCTGCCGGCCCTCCACCTCCTATCTCTCCACCAGTCAGCGCGGATGCCCCGAGGAAGCATTAATACTGAAGAACGCCCAGAGCCAGAGCAACATCAGGCTTTTAGCTGTACTAACAGCCGCAGACAGCTCGCCAATAATTCATGATCGGGCTCTTGGCAGGGAGGGCACACTCTGCAGACTGCCTCTCCCGCTAACGTAATCCGGTTTTCCGTGTGAGAAATGCGGAAGCTCA